TCAAGAATACCTATGGAATTTAAAAATTGTAAGTATGCAGAATTCAAGGTTTTAAAAGTGATACTGTCTTCTGAAGATCCAATAACTTTCTTTAATGTTTTTTCAATGACACCTTACTACAATACATTGTAGAACAGTCAAATTTATATGCTGTCCAAGCCAATACAAAATTTAGATTTGCCTTCCTAGAAATTTTAATTATACTGGGATTTAATAATTTTCTATAAAAAATACTGGTCTGCAGATCCAAATTTTCATAATAAAAGGGTTACTAATATTTTCCCTCTGAAGATATTTCCTAAATTATTAAGATATATCCATTTGAATGATAAACAATAAGTGCAAGCCAGAGGAATTTGGGAATTTGATAAGTTGTACAAAGTGAGACCTCTTACTTAAACATTAAAAAAAAACCTTATATGAAACCTTTTTCTCCGAGCAGAACTATTTTAATTAATAAAAGTATGATTGCCTTAAAGGAAGGACGACTTTTAAACAGTACATACCAATGAAACCCATAAAGAGGGGTATAAATATTTGGGCAATGAAATGTACTGAAATAGGTTACCTCATCAATTTTGAGCTATATTAGGGTAGAGAATCTGAACGTACTAAAGAACATACCCTAGGGGAAAGAGTTATACTGAATGTAACTAAAGTGTTGGAAAAAGGGGACCTGCTTGTAGTTTAACAATATTTTTACCACACTTTAATAAACTAGGTCATTTTGGTTGTGGAACAGTAAGACATTTTTCCAATTTTCCAAAAGTACATTTAGTAAATGACAAAAAAATAAAATTGGGTGAAATTGATGGAGTTGTCTGCAATGATATTACTATAAGTAAGTGGAAGGATCGTGTCTCATAGTCTGTGACCGTGTGCAGCAGTATGTATATGGGCGGTGATGATCGGTTTGGTCAACGAATGCAGACATACTTAGTAACTTGGAAAAATCGTCGATGGTGGATGAAGTTAGTTTATTACCTTTTTGACGCATCCATAGAAAATTCTTACATACTTTATAAGGAATCCCTTAGGCAAAGTAACAGTAGAAAAAAGCAATATCTCACCTTGAATATAGATCCAAATTGGCTACCAGTCTTATAAAAGATTTTTCTGCAAGAAAAAATATTGGGAGGCCATTAAACATGAAGTTTTTTTAAAATGTTTATAGAAACGCAGTGATATAGAGTACGTAGACTGTAAAGTGGCTTTGTGGTTGAATTGTTGTAAACCATATCATTGATGTGCCGCAACTATTATTTTTATTATTATATTTTTGTTTATTTATTGTTTAATATTTTTGTATTATTTAAAGTCCTATACCGAATATTATAATAGAGGAAATACGAAGAATAGCAAAAGATGAAATAAAGAAACGTAAACGTGTCCAAATTAAAACCAACAAACTGATAATAGATGGTCTAGAAAGAAGATCGAATATAAACACCAACCAGCTGGAGAATCATCCTGGAGGTGGTTCAAAAAATTAGCAAGGGATGAGAGGATACATTATCCGTTGATGGACGAGGCAAAGAAACATTAAATGATAAACGCGGGCACAAAAAAAGTGAAATAAAGAAAGATAGACAAGAAAAGAAAAATAAAAGACGAAGACAACAGGACAAAAAAAATAAACAGTTGAAAATAAGCACATGGAACATAAGAACTATGATAGCTCCAGGAAAAATGCTAGAAATAGGAAAAGAACTCAAAAAGTATAAAATAGATATTGCAGCACTGAGCACATAAACAAGACTTTACAATGCTATATTCAGGAAGAAAGAAGCAAGGGCAAAAAGGGGTGTGATTCATGATACCAAGGCACCTAAGAGAGAAAATTATAAATTTTAAACCAATATACAAAAGGATGGGCTATGTTAGAGTCAATAACAAACCATTTAATATATCAAAAAAAAAATTTGTTAAAATCCTTTATAAAAGGTATATAAAATTGCCTCAAACGGGCTATCACAAACACATTGCAAAACGTTTTCGGATTAAACAATCCATCATCAGTGCAAACGGTTGTACATGCTAGTAACCACCAAAATATGTGGATAAAAACCCTTTAAATGTTATAAATTTGAAATTGTTTTACATTATTATTGTTTCTAATTTGTGATGGTTAAGTTACCGTTGGATAGGTAACATGGCGGCGTATGACTCTACATGAGTAAAATGGTCCTGAGACGAAGTGCCTACGAGGACCTGTTGATAACAACTCTTCAACAGGTCCTCGTAGGCACTTCGTCTCAGGACCATTTTACTCATGTAGAGTCATACGCCGCCATGTTACCTATCCAACGGTAACTTAACCATCACAAATTAGAAACACTAATAATGTAAAACAATTTCAAATTTATAACATTTAAAGGGTTTTTACCCACATATTTTGGTGGCTACTAGCATGTACAACCGTTTGCACTGATGATGGATTGTTTAATCCGAAAACGTTTTGCAATGTGTTTGTGATAGCCCGTTTGAGGCAATTTTATATACCTTTTATAAAGGATTTTAACAAATTTTTTTGTGATATATGGTATACAGCCAGCTAGAGGAACTTAGTTTCCTCGTGGAATTTAATATATCAGTCCTAAACTTATGAGCCCTCACAGAATCAAGCAATGCAGACGAAAAAGAAATCTTATATGATAGAGTCGAAGAGGAGACAGAAAAAATACCCAAAGAAGATGTTATATTTGTACTAGGAGACCTCAATGCCCAGATTGGAAAAGAGAACTTTTTACAGCAAAGACAGGAATGCATACAATACACGAAAACTCGAATGACAGCAGCAAGAGAAAACCTAGCAACAAGAGCAAATTTGTTAATAATCTCAACACAATTTTAACACTCGAAAATACATAAGGTAACATATAGGTCACCAGATCAGAAAACATATAGTCAAATTGATCACATAATGATTAATAAACGAAAACAATCGTCAATAAAAGATGTTAGAACATTTATAGGTGCGTGTGCAGATTCAGACCACTACATGGTCACAGCCACTATAAGACAAAAACTTGAAACAAAAGAGAAAAACTAACATAAAAAGTAGAATGTCAATAAAATGAGCAATGAAGAAGTTTGAAAAAAATATGAAGAGGCAGTAAAAGTTCAAATAAAAGAGAAATATAAAGCAAAAGATATAAACACAGAATGAGAGACGATCAAAAAATCAATAGAAGAAGATGCAAATGTGCACGTAGGTAAAAGTCAGACAAACAAAATAAAAAACAACAAAACAACAAAAAAAAGCGGATGGTATAACCAAGAATGTAGAGAAATAACAGAAAAAAAGTGCAATCCAGAAATAAATGGCTAAGAACAGATAAAGAGGAAGAATATGAAAAATTAAGGAATGCCAAAAAAGTGATAAGGCAAAATAAAAGAAGATGGGTAGACGAAAAAATGCAGGAAAAATATGAAATGAAACAAGGAGATGCCTTATCAACAACGCTATTTAATCTCGCATTAGAATATGTACTACGAAATATAAATAAAGGAAATCTGAGAACAAAAGGTGGTCAAATAATTGCATATGCATACGATATTGCTATTATTGCAAAAAAAACAGAAAAATAATGAAAGAAATACTAGAAGAAATAAGAGAGAAAATGGAGGCAATGAGACTAAGATTAAATCAAGAAAAGACAAAAATATAAGGATTAGGGAAAAGCCAATGAAAGAAAAAATCAAAATGGGAAGTTCTGAGTTTGAAGAAGTAGAATACTTCAAATACCTAGGAGTGACAATAAGCCGGAGAAAGGAAGTCCGAAATAAAAGAAAAAATATTAGCAGCGAATAAAGCGTATTTTGCAAACAAAAGATAGCTTAAAAGCAAAACACTGAATAAGAAAACTAAGATGAACATTTTTAACACCATAATTACGCCAATATTATTATATTCAGGAGAAACAATGACGATGGTTAAAAAAGATAAAGAAGACTTAAGAATAGCAGAGAGAAAGATTATGAGAACTATATTTGAACCAATGAGAACAAAGCAAAATGACTAAAGAAGTAAAACAAATGCAGAGATTAAGGAAGACATCGTGACTAAAATGCAGAGTTAGATGGTTAGTTCACATTTGGCGAGCTGGAGATGAGGCAGTGACATACTCAATGTTAGAATTGAATCTGGGAGAAAGAAAGAGGAGGGGAAGACAAAGATCAAAGTGTCTGCAAGAAGTTGAAGAAGACCTCCAAAGGGGACTCAGAGAATGGAGAGGAAAAACTAGAGACAGAAAAAAATGGAGAGATATTGTCAAGAATATAACATAAACAAAAGAGACTGATCCACCCAAGAAATAGGATCTAGAAAGCATTCGCAGTTTAACCCCACGCTGGGGTGTATAGCCATTATATGTATATATACCTAATATTATTACTCTTCTTATCATTTGGTACACCCTATGTACCAGAGAAACCAGCATGAAAATTATTCCTTGATTGTGCTCTGGTACAATGGTTGACCAGCATTTTTTTTTTTCATAGAAAAACATAAATTTATTTAAAATCTAGTAACTGATGTACTTGTAGTTGATCATAATAAACTTGCAGCTTAAAGGTTTAAAAAAAGATATCGACGACCTCATCTACTGTAAGATAGTATCACTAAAAATTAATCGATTGCAAAAAAAGTAGAAATTTGAAATTCAAAATTGTCTGCTTAGAGATTAATCTCAGAGAATAATAATTTATCAAGATAATAAAACCTTTCAACATTTTATGAAATGAGAAAATGTGTAAATATAATTTATAGTTGCAAAAGAAAACAAAAAATAGTATGAGTTAAAAAGGTATGTTTAGAATATCCACATTAATGAAATTTTAAATAATTTTTAAATGTAATAAGCATTAAAGTTATTTTTTATTAAAAATTGCTTTCTGAAACATTGTATACAACAATTTATTTATTTTTTTCTTTATAATTTAGTAGGTTAGCTAGAAATTATGCCATGTTATCACCAATAAATATATTCAAAACTTACCTCGGTCTCTGATATCCTGTTCTTGTAAATCCTGTAAATTACTATCACCAGCCAACCAATCTGGTTCTGCTTCTTGATTCTGCACCGGATCCCTAAACGCAACTTGTTCTGTCGGAAATATCACTCTAGGCCGTCTAGAAGAAGCAGTCCAAGCGGTTTGGTACCGCGCAGATGGATCAAAATAAATTTGCCCTTCGGAATAATTGTCCCTAAATCCCTTATATCTTCTAGGAACGCGAAAATGTTCTACTAAAGGTAAACTTAATCTAGGGGTGCGTGCATAATACTGTTCATTAACTCTATTAGTGTTATCTGTCACAATCCCGTCTATGCCTTCTGAAGACGGTCCTGACGGAAATACAACAGGAATTCTTAGTATTTCTGATCTTTCTACCGGAGTCACCAAGTTGGATTTGAATGGAATGTGACTAAGACGTCTGTTTTGAAACATTCTGTTATTATTTGATATTTTGCGGTAAAAATCTGAAGGGAGGATTTCTCCAATATGTTCTTTATCTCTATTTTCAACTACGTTAAAATCATCTCTCCGAATTGGTTTTGTGAATATGTCATTCACCATGTTAACCATTTTTTCTTCCTTGTGTGGCAACGTAACTTCCTGTTGTTCAAACTTAACTTCATTTGGCACTGAAAGTTTATTATCTTGTTTAACTTGTACAATTGCAGTTTCCCTGTTGTTGATTTTATCTTCCGGGACAACTTTTTCCATGCTTTTATCTGGTTTAACACTCTCAACATAATCTTCTTTAGAAATGCGACTTGCGTTAGCGATTGCATAATTTTCATCAAGATGAATTTCTTTTTCGTACAACTTAAGAAGTGGCCTGATGAAATCTTGTTCTAGTAACGTTTCGTAAGAGGATTTTCCCTTATTATGAAAGCCTTCGTTTGTGTTACTTTGTGTTTCATTGTTAATTTGTCTTAAGTAGTTATGCAATCTGGTTAATCCTTCGTCGTTGGCGTTGGCTGCTGCACCAGGATGTCCACTGAAACTGGGCTGCGTTGCATCATTTGTATTATATGATTGTTCTTGAGTATAATTATTGTGAGGATCTTCGTTGGGTGTATCAAACGGTGCAGGATGAATTGGAGGATATAAGGGTAAATTAAGGTTGTTATCCAAATTATTTTGAGCTGGAGCTTCAGAAATGTTTGTGTTTTGCGATCCGGTTGTAGGAAAATCTTGCAAAGTAGAATAAATAGCAACAGGAGGCAAAAAATCATTCTGAGAAGTTTCTGTAAATGTGTTCACTGGTGGCGGCAACAAATTTTGTGGGTCCACAGTTGGAGGTTGTAGCTCTTGAGGATCTAAAGTGGGCGGCTGTAGGTCTGTACTTAAAAACTGTCTATCGGAAATTTTTTTTGTATCATCTTCCGTCTTCTGTATATTTGTAACAAAAGGGGTGAAAATGAGAGCCGGCGTTTTTAAGGGATAAAATTTGATAAAACGTCCTGTGGGTTTTTCGTATGGAGGATCAGAAGCTTGAATCAAAAAAATACTCATGACAAGCGCCAACAATGAAGAATGTATCCAATTCATTCTGACTCAATTCCATTTATTGTTAACGTCGATCTGGTCACTGTTTGTCCTATTGTCGAAACTTATGCTAATATCACATAAAATTACAGAGAATTGTAGTTAACAAAGTCTGTTCATATTTCCCGTTGTGCGCGCAATCAAATCGTGCCCCGAGAGTCGACAAAAAAACAACGAAAATAAAGCAACCGCGAATCACTTAGCACAACACCCGTGGACATCACAGGCCGACTGAAGCATCTAGATGGCCATGCTTAGAGAGTTTTAACTTTCACGCACACACCACTTTCACTTGAACTGCCTTAAGTCAGAACGTAAGCGAGCTGAAGATGGAAGACTGCTCGATGCATAATAAATATTACGAGGGTTAAGCTGGAAGTTTCTATTACTAAACAACGTGTTATTATTGAAATAAAAACAAAATCACCGTTTATTGAGCATTTGTTGATCTTCTAATAGTTTCCCGTTAAGATTTTAAAAACGTGTGACACAATTTTAAATAATTGTGACTATCACTATATAAGTTGTATTTTTTATTTTTAAAATAAGTAATGTAGGCACTAAATATTATGTTCATATGGGATTAAGATATAATAATTTTAATGAATATTACGTTTTATAATTGTTCTTTGCCGTTTCGATTTCCATTTCAAAAATCGTTTTCAAAAAAAATATTTTAAAATAGTATCTATGGTGATTTTATGATCAATACATGTTTGAAGGTTATTGTTTTCACTGATGACAAGAAAATCCTAAAAACCTGGAAGGAATACTTCTGTCAACTATTGAACGGCCAATCTAGCAGAAATACATCAAACATAGCTGACACATACAGCTGAAATAGAAGACCAATACCCGACATACGAAGAAGTAATACAGGCAATTAAAAAACTTAAAAATAATAAGACACCAGGTAGCGATGGTATACCCGCAGAGTGCTTAAAACATGGAGGAGAATTGTACAGTTCTATATACAAGCTAATTCAAGATATTTGGCGAGAAGAAACAATGCCAGATGAATGGAAAGAAGGGGTTATTGTACCAATACACAAAAAAGGAAACAAAAAGCAATGTATTAATTACTGGGGAATAACACTCCTAAACACCACCTACAAAATCCTTGCAAACATCTTGCTAGAAAAAACCAAAACATACACAGAAGAAATCGTTGGAGATTATCAATGCGGATTTAGACCGGGTCGCTCTACTATTGACTAGATCTTCACAATAAAACAGATAATGGAAAAATGCTGGGAGTCTGTTCGTGAGCTTCATCAGATGTTCATAGATTTTAAACAAGCATTTAATAGAGTATGCAGGGACAGACTGTGGACAGCGATGCAGGAACTTGGCTTTCCAAAAAATCTAGTCAGGTTGATACGAATGTGTATGGAACGGTTACGATGTAAGGTGAGAGTTGGAGAACAATACTCAGAGACATTTAAAATAAACAATGGACTAAAACATGCAGATGCACATAATCAAAAGTGCAAGAATCGAAAAACCGAATACAGTATTTCATCGAGAAGGACCAAACTTACTACTGGCATTTGCAAACGATATCGATCTAATAGAAAACACACGATTAAGGAGACTTTCGTGATGTTCGAGAAGGAAGCATAGAAGATGAGGCTCCAAATCAACAAAAAAAAAAAGACAAAATATATGTATATGAGCCGCAATAACCAAAGCAGAGACAGAATCGGTCAGAACATCTCCATCGATGACTTTACCTTTAAGCGCGTTAGAGAATTCAAGTATATTGGAACAAGAGTAACTGAAGACAATAACGGATCACAAGAAATAAACAACATGGTTTAAGTCGGCAACAGATGTCTTTTTGCCCTTCAAAACCTTATAAAATCTAAACAACTAACAAGACGTACGAAGATACAGATTTATAAAACAATCATACGACCCGTTGTGATGTATGGAAGCGAAACGTGGACGATGACAAAGGCAAACGAAGAGAGACTATGTATTTGGGAAAGAAAAATTCTAAGGAAGATCTTTGGTCCTGTGCTGGACGAAGCATCAGGACAATAGGATAAGAACTAACAAAGAGCTCGAAGAACTTCACTTATACGCCAACATCATAAAAGAAGTAAAGTTCAGAAGACTCCAATGGACAGGACACCTCAGAAGACATTCTGACGAACGAACAGTAAGACTGGTGTGGGAGGAAGTCCCAACTGGAAGGAGACCACGCGGACGCCCTCGTCTCCGGTGACGAGATAATATAGCAGCCATAGTGCCACGCCCATAGTGCTTAGGAGACGTGGAGAATTGGATGGAGGTTGCTCAAGACAGAAAACAGTGGAGGTATGTTGTCGAGTCGGCTAAAACCCACGAAGGGTTGTAACGCCACAGAGTAAGTAAGTAAGTAAGGTTATTGTTTTACAATTTTACAGTTGACTAAAGTGGCCTTGATCTTGTAGACAAATAACCATGCTTGTAGTTGAAACTACAAGCATAGCTATTTGTCTACAAGATGTTTGGGTTGAAACCTCAAAAAATTCAATTTTTTGTTTTTTTTTTTAGGTGGGATGTAATTAATTTAAAAAATTCAAGTTGGTGCTTTTAAAAAAATTATCTATTTTTTAAAGACTCGGCATAACTTTTTTTAAAGTGGGTGCAGGTCCAATTTTTTTTTATTTTGTGTGTTTGGTCAAAAATTGTATCTCTGGTTTTTTTTCAGATTTTCCGTATGGTCTGTCATTTTCAAAAATCTAAAAACTGTTTTGTTATTGGGGTTTTGGTGGGTTTTCTCCATTTTATAGACTAAAAATAGACAAAGCCCATGTTTTTCACAGTTTTAAGGGTTTTGACGGGGTCAATTATATTTTTGACATCGACACAACCTGAATTAATTTTCTCATATTTTTACCTTTTATGTGATTAAAAAATAAGACTGTGTAATTTGTCTATTTTTATAGGCTCGTAGATTGAGTGTACATAACCTAAAAAAGATTTTTTTTTTCAAAAAGGTATAGGGTAAGATGGAGTAATTGGATCATGATTTTACAACAAAAATCTGCATTCGGCTCAGATTTTTAGTTACCTAATGATAAGTATAAGTAAATTTTAAACTATTTGTATGAAAACATGACCTTTATTTAATTCTTTAATGTATGGAATCTTAGTTTGATTGAAAGTCTTACAGTAATGATAAAATAAATAATAAAATTGTGCCTACGGTGATGGCTATCTATACCTGATTGCCTATCTTTACACTTTTTAAAGAAACCTCAAACAACAATTCAAAATAATTACTATTTAAATGGGAATAAGCCACAATTAAAGGTGAAAGTACGTTTATTGACGTTTCAATTTCTACTTCGGAAATCGTTCTCAAAATACAAACATTGTTTGTATTTTGAGAACGATTTTTATAATTATCAGAGTACAGATTGAAGATTAGAGAAGACAAAATACAGCCCTGCCTCACTCCACGCATGATTTTCACATAATCAGTTTGTTCACCTTCAACTCTGAAATTTCCATTCGTCTAATTACAGTAAAGATTTTTAATTATTTTCAGATCTTGGTTGTTAATTTGTGCTTCTTTTAGTATGTGCATCATCTTGGCGTGCTGTACTTGATCAAACGCTTTCTCGTAATCAAACACACATGCGTATACGTCGCAGTTGACGTCTCTGCATCTCTGGAATAAGACTTGTACTGAGGACAAAGTCTCTCTATAGCGTTCCACGTTAAGAAAATAACATTGCGGGATAAAACCTTGTATTTCTTATGGACGATAGAAGCGCGTCGATGCCACGACAAACACAAGCACGATTCAGGGTTGTATAATTTGTATTTTCGTTTCCACAAACATGAATTAAAATAATGTTTTTTAACGTAATTGACCAAAAGTGCCCATTCGAAACACGAGATGAAAAGTAGGGAAAATGATTTTAATTAAATAAATAGTATTTACAAAAGATAATTTTATTTTTTCTTATTTTATTTATAAAAACGACAGTTTATTAGAAAATATTGCTTAGTTAAATGGTGCATTTTGCCGGCTATTAAAGATTTAAAAGCAAATAAACGGACCACTTGGAATACATATATCTAATTATTAATTGCAACTTAAAATAATACGGTGTGCGTATGTCAGCGATTTTATGTCGTTCTCTGACTATATAATGATAATAAGGCTTTGTGGTTCTTTAGTAGTTATTCTGACTTTACAGTTAAATGTTAATTGAAAATGGAAATTCAAAAATTAAGTCAAAGGAATATCTTGGAGATTCGTGCAAAAGAGAGTGCCTGAGAGTTTTGGCAACACTGACCTCCATAAGCGTAATGTTATTTTTTTAACTTGAAACAAAGTATAGTACCACTAGCATTTGTGAACCCGAACTGGTTGGTATTTCTCCAGAGTTGTATATGTTGTTGAATATATTTGCGATTATTGCTATTGATTCGTTGTCCATTAGATGCAATAATGTTGTTTAAATCAATATTATTTTGTTTAATTTATGATTTACTGGTTTTTGGGAATTTTCTGAACGCCTCCGGTAATTTTATTTTTATTTAAAAAAAAACAGCAGTTTTGACGTACAATTGTGCGTGAAATAATTATTGTTTATTGGAAATTATTTATGTAATAAAAAATCTTGGGAGATCTGCCTTCGATTTATAATTAGTTCTATTATTATTGGTATTAGTGTTTTTATTGGAAAATAAGGTTAGTGGTTATCCACAATAAAAAAGAAAATTGGATTTGGATGTCTTTACATAACAGTTATTAAAGGTGGGTTCAATGTATGTTTTGCTCTTTTTTATATAATGGAAACATCTGTAGTTAGAAAAATACGGTGATAAACATTGCACTCTATTCGAAACTACCATCTCCACATTTTTTATTGATTTCTGGTGGTAGTATTTAGTAAAAATGGAAAAATAGTTTTGACAACAAGAACCAATAATGTAATTTTTTAAGAATATTCGAACCATTTGGAGAAAAACCTAAGTATGACCAGAATAAAATGATTTAAAAAATGACGTATAGATGTATGGATGTTAATCCATTTCTAAATCTAGAAGGAGATTGGTATAACTAAGTATTAAAAGATAATGTAAAAAAGTTTATCCTTTCTAGTCTCTTCTTCTCTTATGAAGACTCATAACATTGCCAAATTTTTTCAGTGTCTGACATAGGTTTCCTCCAAATATCTCCACCTGTATCAGTGCTGCACAATACTATAATCTGTTTTGCGTTGTT